AGCCAGCAATGCTGGTGGGCGGGCAGTCCCTCCGGACTACGCCGGATGGCTCTTTTTAGCCTGCTTTCAGGAATCGTGGGAAGGGGTAGCTGGTGGTTCGGGTGAGAAAGTTGAGACGGACGAAATGAAGACAGAAGAGACTGAAAGATTATCTGTGGAATATTACTGCCCCAGCATTTGCTTAAGAGATCCAAGGAAACCACAGAAAAAGTTGGACCAAGGCAGATACCCGGAATCTAACCGGCGTCCTCCCGAATGCTAAGCAATGGTCTTAACCTCTCGGCCATGCCGCTCGGTAGTTTCAGACATACCTGTATACATCAATGATGTTTTACACATAGATCCTTGATGTATTTACATGTTGTTGACTATTAATTAGCACATGCCTGACACATTCGCATCCCATTAACGTTTCTGTTAGAAAAGCTTGGTTAGAGTTGAAAATATATGATCATTTAGGTACATTCAATTTTAAAAGTTTCAACAAGTGTTGTAATGGAAACTAAACCTATGTCCATGTCAATCTGTTAGAACAAGGAGAAGAATATCATTTAGTAGTGAGATGAAGATGGTTGGTGGTGATCTGAAGTTCAAGTAACTCACAATTAGATGGTTTTCTTAACGTTTTTCGATTTGCCACGGTCCCGGTCATTTAAATATTCCTAACCGAGATGTTTAAGTCGTGAAACTGATCGCAATGAAGTGTATTAAAGTGTTTAAAATTGGAATGACTCAGTAGTTCGCCGTCCTTTATACGAGTAAATTGAAATTCCGAAGCGTTTAGCTTTTTGCTTCCGACGGAACCCCGTCCATGTTTGTTTTTAGTTAAATATGTTTACACAAGTGATTTTAGAGCGAACGCGTCCGTAAAAACCCGAAACAATTACATTCACGTCTTCTTCTTCGGCGTTGTTTTTTTTTTCTCATCGTCTCTTCTTTCCACTTCACCTCTGAATTGTCTTCGTCGTTTTGTATCTAAACGTTACCGTGACAGCATTGTAACGCTGGCGATTGTTTACTTTGTTCATGACAAAAAAAGACCGTCGCCAATCGAACCAATTAAAGATCTTTTCGTCAAAGGAAAGGATGCGGGGCAAGTTGACAATAAGTATCGAACATTATAGGGGGAACGATGGAACGAGCAGCGAAAAAAGGCACTGCGGATTGCGGATGTCATTTAATTTTACGAGCAGTAAGCGTTTTGTAGAAATTCATTAAATTGTATTAATGGATTATTTAAATACATATTTTTTTATATCCTTAGCAAACGATTTCTTCTCATTTACGAGTTCCACTGACGAATGTGGTCAAGTATTTTGAAGTAAGTACGATAGAACTAGAGGCAGAAACGGAAGTTAGGAGGGGTTTTAGGTAGACCTACATTAGATTACTGTTGGAAATAAGGTAGTGTCGCCGAAGATGGCCCGGCTCCTAAGATAGCAAACTTTTAAAAAAATACGGTTATGATTATTCGAAACATTTTAAATTTCCTCCATTATCTAAATCATTTTGAAAATTTACAAATTCAAAACAAATCTCGTTGCTCTAAACTGTGAAAATTTATATTTAATCTATTTGTCAGCGACTTATAGGTGTGTTATTATTTTATTTCCTTTTTCGTATTTTTATGATATTATACTCAATCCGAGTGTAATTTTCTATCATGGCCCATAATACAATTCCCAAACATAGCCCGGGCCTTCTTAGATTTAAGTTCTGATTAAGGATAAAGTTATTAAGTAAATTGAGATTTTTTTAAGTTTTTTAAAAGTGTACACACTCAGTTAAAGACAGTAGCGTCTAATTTGTTTTAATTAATTAAGTATATTTTGATTGATCTCAAAGTTAATTTTCAGTATTCCTTAGATAGCCCACCTATGAATGACATTAAAAAAAATATATAAAAAATACCTGATTTATTTTTATTTTTGATAAGTAACTTTCAAAGTTGATCGCAAACTTAAATGTTATTTTATTTAGTATTTTGTTTTTATTTTTTAGTTGATTTTCATTTTGATAGATTTAAGATAGCCCACATTTAAATTTTTGGTTGAGTTTTTTAACTTTTATGAATAATGTTATGAGAAGGATGTGTGTTTATTTTCATGTTTTATGTTAAAAATGTTTAATTGTTTATAATGCATATATATTCATTAATATTTTTCGGGCCATCTTGAGCGACCAGCTTCCCAAGATAGCCCAATACCAAGCTTCTAAAAAGTGTTTACATTTGTGTTAAAATGCCAAAAGCTTTACTACTTTTTTAGATATCTTGTTTCTCAAATAAATATATAACAACTTCCATTATGTTTTTTTTTACTTTACTTATCTGCAACATTTTACGAGGTTTTGAAATTAAGTGGGCCTTCATTGGCGCCTGTACCTTAGTCAAGGATATGGGTTGTTCTAGTTTTAAGGAAATGCGAAGATTAGCTCAGGATAGGAAAGAGTGGAGGTGCGTGTACAACCAGTCTTAGGACTGACGACCTTATGATGATAATGAGAACCAGACAACAGTTTGGGGTTCTTCCTTTCTCAATTTATGAACATCTGCTTAATTTACAACAATTACTGATAAAAATTGGAAGCATTTCTTTAAGATGATCATGTAAATCCGTTTTCTTTCTCTTCGTCGACGAATTAAATCAATCAAGCGGATTATATTCCATGAAACCAAAATCGTCCGGCGGTGACGTCCAAAGTAAACCAGGTAGGTAAACTTGACAAGCAAAAAGCTCAACCACCACCGTCAAAAAACAACAACAACAACAACATGCTTCTGTTTTACATACACGTAAGAGGTCCATGAACTTTTTGTTTAAATAGTATAATATCTGATGATGAAGGTGGCCCAAACGTGTGTCCAATGGAACTTGAATAAAATTACACCGTAAAATTTGAAGCGTCCAGACTAAACGTTTTTCGTTGACGAGACCGTTTGCAGTTCGTTTACCTAAATAAATACCACGATTGATGATGGCCAGTAGCATTTGAGGTTACAAGTTTGATACTCAGCGAAGCACTTTTTGTCTTTCTATTCAAATTTGGACTAATAGCTACGTTACACTCTACTACACAACAGTCGATCATCAAAAATTTTATACAATATGGTGTAAGCACAAGTCATTATAATGATTCTGATGGAGCTTTCCTTAAAAAAGAAGCAGAGGGTTTGCCTACTTTTATAAGACTTGCCTTACAGCTTCTTGTTAATCTTTCTACCATGATTTAAGAGCATGTAACAATACGTAACTATAGTAATTATCACACCAAAGTTAATTCCTTCACCTTTTAAAAATGTCTGACAAAAGTTTATACCGTCATTGTACACCACGATGAAAAATCTGCTAGAAAACCCTTAATTCTTTTTGAACGTTCCCAATAATATAAGATAGATACGAATTCACCACCTCGAAGGAAATCAGTTTTAGTAGCATTTGTACAGGCCTGACGCTGGAAGCTGGCGGAAATTTTAAAATGGCGTGGATGCGCGGTGGCAAAAGGAGGCAGTTGTAGGTATAAAGATTGCAGCCCTGATTCTTCAGTATTCCTATCAGGGGCGTACATTAAATATTTAAAAACAGGGATCAATGAGCAAGTAATAGACAGACAAACAGAAGAACTAATTGTTGATGATGGTGACAGTGATAGAGATTCCCATGATGAGAATTAATGTGAAAACTAACTATAAAACAAAAGCAAGTCATGTTTTTACATTATTTTCTAGTACGCTACTGTCCTATCTGTATTAATACTATAATTTACGCCTACTGAAAGCTTATTTGTGTATCGGTTCCAAGTGACTTACCCAAATAGGTCATAGATGGGCAAGTACCTGCGCGACCGCTCGCCAGCTTCCTTCGTCAGACCTGTACATGTTTATTTTCCGGATTCACAAAAGTACAACCTATTGATCTTTATGTTCCCATAGAGAACACAGTGAGCAATAACGAATGGTAAAACCTACATGAAGATGTAACCGTTACGGTTTTGGGTGAACAACAAATTCTGTATAACATTTTAACCTTCTAATTTTACAATTATTATTTCTGCTTCATAATATCGTTTGTTTTAATTTATTAAAACGATATTTTACACCATTTCCTCATTATTCTCTTAAACATTTTGTAATTTCTGAATATTTTAATCGAAATGAGTGGTTATGAATGTCTTTAGCATAATTTCTGCAATGTCTATTATCGAGAAAGTGCGGACTCGTTTATAGGATGCATCTTGATTTTCTAACGACGCCACCATCAGTAAATGTCTTATTAGTACTACAAAAAATTGGTGTTGCTTCATCCTTAATAGCTCTAGACACACACGCGACGGTATCAAGCGTGAAAATTGCAACAGATTTTTGCTTTAATTAACACATTTCATTTTATTTTCCATAAAAACATTCTTCTGCTGCTGGCTTAGTCTGCAGAAATTTATTCGTATTTTGGCAACGCATATTCAATTGCAAGTAAATTTTTTTGGCATTCACTGTGTATTGGGGGTATATTTATTACAGTAATTAAGGATAACGCCATTTTTAGTAATTGGTTAAGCTAATAATAATTGATGAGATATGTATTCTGTATTAACGAGAATGCAATAAATTCATTGTTTCCGCAGCGTTGGGTTTTAATTAGCAACTTTTTTGTTTTTATATTAATTAGCCAACGTTTTCTGTGTTTTTTTTTTAGAATAGTCATACACATTGTGTGCAACACTTTGTTCTTATTTTAGCGGTTAATGAAACGACTGGTGATGGTAATAGCTGTAATAATCGTCACGAAATAGTTTTAGAACACCGTTAATAGAATAAAGAAGCCGATTGTTAGGTTTCTTTTTTGCTTGAGAAAAGTGCTAATATATGCGCAAACATCCCATTATAAACACTTAACAGAAACTGGTACTTAATTATACAAACTAACGATTACACGACTGTTAGGTTACTTGAAATGTTACTAAGTACAAAAGGACACATTTATAAAAGAAATATAAACACTCACCGTCTATTTTGGTACCACGTTTTTACTTGTGTATCTGTAAGACTCAGTTTAGCAGCTAGTTCCATCCTGTCTTGGACGCTGAGGTATTTTTGTCGTTCGAAACTTTTCTCTAACGTTTGCAATTGTAAATCTGTAAACGCTGTTCTTGCTTTTCTCTGCTTTTTACTAAGAGGGCCGTTTGATGTTTTTGATGAATTTAATGATTCTTCACTGGTTTGACCTGAAACAAATTACAAACAAACGTCAACATGAAAACAGCAAGGCTTTCGAGTCTTCTAATTAACTATACATTGCCTGAAATTCATCTGATTTTGACCTTATCAAATACACACAATCGAATGTATAAATTTAGAGAAAATTATAACAAATCAATTCGTGCTTCGTTAATGGCATACTGTCAACATACTTGACTAGCATTCGAAAGGTCGCGGGTTCGAATCGTGGACTGGTTAAATGGCTTTTTCTCAATATCTTAATATAGAGAGGTCTTTCCGAAATATGCGCATCAAAAATAGCAAAATTAGAAAAGAATTAGGATAGAGAATGAAGAGTGAGGAGACAACAAAAGTCTTGAACAATTATGCATACAGTGCAAAATAAAATTGAAGTTAGGATCTATAACAACCAGGACTAGGAAAATATCAGAAGAAGTAAGATTTGTACAACACCAATTCATCGCTATTTATAGATAGCAGCTACTACCTGACTTGGATCTCAAATAAATAATAGATATCTAGACTTCCCGTTTTGAAAGAGATGTTACCCGACATGCAAACGAAGCTCTTTATCAACACGTAGTACAAAAATTTGTGAGTACAATTTCGTAGTTCCTGATGTAAAGAATGGTTTGTAAAGTTTATCAATTTCTGAGGTGTTAGGTTAATTCTTTTTTGGTGACGTGATCGAAGGTGTGAGGACGAACGGTGTGGTGTCGTTCCTTTGAAACTTGACAAACTAATATTTCTCTCGATTCACCCACGGAATAAGGAAAACGTTTGCAAGCGAGCGAGTGGAATGTCGACTGAGTCAACGCTGCAACGTGGTAAGTACCCTTGGTGGTCCTTATGACTGAGTAGTAGGCCGTTTGTTCACACCTCCGGTACCTTATCGCGTCCGACCTAACAGCCGACCATGTAGCATTTTCAAATCGATTTAAAATTAAATCGGTGTTCAAGATAACACGAGTGCCAAGAGTTATTTAAAAGAGTGATTTCACAATTGCCCGACCTATCTTAACGTTTCTTTATCAACCGTTTGTTCAAATTAAGTACTTTACAGTGTTCAGCGCCCACCACAGCGTACCCACATCACCTATGCACAAGTCGTAGCTCATTCCTGTGTTGCACTGGCGTTAGTGAATTATGCACCTTTTCGAAAATAGCACAAGCTCCTTCGAAGCATCCTCCATACGGTCCTTTGTACCAGATGGTGTATGTATTGGATTCTCTTACGTTTTCAACTCAAGCAAGTCTGTCGCCTCTATACTGAAAGAAGATTATGATTATGGACATTCTTTCTACGGTCCTTTATACCAGATGCTGTACGTACTGGACTTCTCACACTTTTCAACCCAAAGAAGTGTATCGTCTCTTCATTGGAAGAGGATTTTGATTGTGGGTCCGGAACTTCTTCTTCCTATGGCTTTTTATACCAGTTGCTGTAGGTACTGGATTTCTCGCACTTTTCAACACAAAGAAGTCTATCGTCTCTTTATTGAAAGAAGACTATGATTATGGTTCCAGAACTTCTTCTTCCTTTGGTTTTTTATACCAGATGCTGTACTTACTGGACTTCTCGCACTTTTCAACCCAAAGAAATCTATCGTCTTATCATTGAAATGAGATTATAATTATGGATTCAGAATCTCTTCTTCATACGGTCTTTACACCAGATGGCGAAGAAGATTATTATTATTTAGGGGACCAGAACTTCTTCCTCATACGGTTCTATATACCAGAAGTTGTACTTACTGAACTTCTCATACTTTTCAACCCAAAGAAGTCTATCATCTCTTCATTGAAAGAAGGTTATGATTATGGGTACAGAACTTCTTCTTTATATAGTCCTTTATATCAGATGCTGCATATAATGGACTTCTCATACTTCTCAATCCAAAGAAGTCTATCGCCTCTTCATTGAGAAAAGATTATGATTATGGATCTAAAACTTCTTCATACAGACACTAGATGCTGTATGTATTGGACTTTTCTCATTTTTTCAACACTAAGAAGTCTATCGTGTCTTCATTGAAGGAAGGAATTAGTTATGGATCCAAAACTTCTTAAAAAAATTTAGACGTTTAGGTTATTTCTTGTATTTATTTCAAATACTTGCATTTACAAAGAAACCAAATTGAAACGTTTTTCAATAAATATTGTACACTCGCGTTATAGTTAAATGCTTCCTTTTCTGCGTTCCGTGCTTCTTGTAGTTGCTGGTTGGCATGCTTGCCTTTTTCCCGAGGGAACGTTACAGCATCGAGTTCACGGAACATAAGGTCGTTCCAACAAACCCAACAAACTTATCCACTTTGCGAGACCCGATGCCCCTCACGTTTCCGACGTATAAAACATTCTCGAGCTAAATCTATTTTTCATTTTCAAGATTTGTCTGTCAGGATATTTGCCCGGTTCTTTACCATTCCCTTTTATTTTGATCTTCTACTATCAATATATACAGGACAGACGATTGACAAAAATTGTTCACTAGAAACTAGACAAAAAATTGCTTACACTTTATCTATGGATCTTTATAGGCACCGTTCTTTCCGAAACAAAGATTAACAACAATACAATGATTGAACAATAGCTTTTATGCTATATTTATGACATGTTCGTTAGTGCGCTACTTTGACTTACAGACTACACACTCACTGAAAGAGAGCGATTATTATTAGAGTACATTTGCACTTTGACGGAAATTGCCGATGTCAATTCAGAATGACGTCGGTAGCGGAAAGGCGAGAACAACCCTCGTCCACAACAATACAGTACAACAATTAACTTGATTTATCGCTCATTCTTGACGGTTCTCTTTAATAAAACGCGTTTCGTGAAATCACAGGCGAGAAACTATCGAGCGCTCTAATCTAAGAATGTTCTTGAATAATTGTACTAAGAAATAGGTAATGATCAGAACTAATAAGTGAACGGGAGGGAACGGAGTTCGAGACGGACGCGCCGCGGCGCCGAGCGTGTCGCACGCGAACTCCTAATAATGTAATTGTCCCATTATAGGGGAGCGCACCATTAGCGACACCTCGAATGCCTCGCACAAACCGGCTAAATGGTAGACGGACTGTTGTCACTCGATTGTATTGACCCAGACGAGATCAAAATGATATATAGGGTGACGCATTTAAAACCTTTTCCATTTGGAAAACTTTCAAGTACAATTTTCTTATCGGACATCTCGGAAACAGGTCAATTTTACCTTCAATAGGCTTTTGATTCGTGTACGTAAAACCATTCCCCCTAAAGCGAGGAGTCTTGAAGCGGGGGTTTAGTGGCATATTATTTTAAAGGTGTTTTAATTGTCTTTACAATGGAGGAGGTATTCTGAGACATGAAGGGCAGTTAGAGGGATATTTGATGCAAAAACAGGAGTTCAGAGGTAAACCTAGTGTTCAGAGACCGTTCTTCGTTTTGCAGGCCATAAAATTCCTGCATACAATTTTTAGAATGTTTGCAAATTTACAAGGCGGTATGGTGTTTATTTGGTAGTAGACCCTTAGATGCATCGGTACAATGTTTAAATTAGTTTATAGAGGTANCCATAATGGAATAAAATAATTCGAAGTGGTCTGTATTCTATCGAAACTGCCAGACGCGGATTGCGATTTCGATCTTTACCCTTAGATTCATCGGTACAATATTTAAATTAGTTTATAGAAGTAACGGTTGAAGAAGGATCCTTTACGATTCCAATTTAGTTTCAGTTTTATTATGGGGTGTTTTTTTATGAGCCTAACGGTTAAAAGTACCGTTAGTTGATTTCTTGATGTGCCGATATTTTCTCAGATTGTAAACTTCCCTCTTTCCAAAATTTTAAGTTGAAAGCCCGCCTTCTAAATTTACACCGAATTGTTTTGAAAGGATTAATCACCAATGGTGAAACTAGCCACACCCTTGGTGTTTTCCTCCTAGTTTAAGTTGTAGATATAAGAAGACAAGCACTTGTACAATACAATCATAATGAATCATTAGTTGGAGATAGTCTGTACATATTTGTAAATATATAATTAAGTTGACTTCGCTGCAAGAGTTCTATTTTTTTCTACCTTCCACCAAAGAATTAAACAACACGCCTTATTAATTTAACGCGTGTGCTGATATTCCACTTACAATAGTAAGTTCCCGAATATCTGCCTGTGAAATTTAACACCTAGATTAGGTTGCTCTAGTTTTCAAGAGATACAAACATTGGTTCAAGCTAGGAAGAAGTGGAGGCGCGTGTCCAACCTGTTGGTTGAAGGATGATGAGGAAGTATGCCTATCACAACAAAAAGAGTTCTTCACATTGAACACAGCATGCAGAGATTTGAATGAAACATCATAAAAGAAGTCATTTATCGCAAAAAGGAACTGCGAAAAAAAATTGGAAATGACAACCTTAGTGGTTAATTTGACTCATTTTAGGCTCTTTCAAAGTTGCCAAATTGGTTACTTATATTTTCTTTTTAAATTAAATTTCCTTTTTTGTATGGACGCAATTAAATTAAATAAAGTTTAATTAGTGCAATTTTACATTATAATTAATTTTTTGCCTAATAGAAACTAGATGCCTTTAAAAAACGTGTGCTAATTAACTTTTTTTATAGCGCATGTATTTAATTGGTTGCAATTAATTAAAATATTATTAAAATGGACATTTCATATTTTCTAATTTAAAAAAAAAAAGTAATTAGAATAAACTTTCGCTGCAGAAAAACGTGAAATGACAAAGATTGCAATGCGTCTTTTATTATTATTACAACAAATCCAATAGTCAAGCTAAAACTAAGACAGTGCAATAAGGGGGCGGTGATAACGTTAATAACAACAGACGTGCCGAATTGGGGCGTGAACACCACGCAGCATCCCTGCGACGTTTGCGAAGTTATCGACCTTCAAAGTGGACAACGACGCCGGCCGCCACGACGAACGCTATCTTCGTTACACTTGCGCCTCTGATTGGCTGACGCATCGGTGTTTTGATAAAGTAGCTGACGCTTCTTCAGTC